GGCAGCCCAACTTAGGACTATTAGATATTACTTTAATGCCAGGGATGTCCCTCAATGGGTAGAAATGGAATCTAAATCAGTAAATCCACCCTTACCTTTATATATTTTTTCTGATTCTGGCCCAGGATTGTTGGTGAAAACAGATAACCCTATTGTTAAAAACATGATCAAAATATGGTACGATATAAAGAAGTTTACAAAGGAACCAATTACACTGTCACAATTTACTCCAATATGGGGAAATCAAGATTTTACTCCTGGAAGAGCGGATGCTGTATTTAAAAAATGGGCCACGAAAGAAATAAATAGTGTTCAGGATCTGTATCAACCAAATTCAATTCATATGATGTCCTTTGAAGAACCCGGGCAGAAATTTAATATAAATAGAAAATACTTTTTTAAATACCTTCAGCTCAGGAGTTATATTAGAACAAAATCCAAAGATTTGATAAAGCCACCAAAATCCCAACTAGAACAAATTATTAGCAAAGATGGCACAAATAAAGGAGCGATTTCAGAATTCTACAGTTTTATAGTTTCGAACTCCCCAGAGGACTCTAAGTGGAAATTAGAAGCCTGGAAAATAGATTTAGGTGTAAACCTAACGATGGCAGAATGGCAACGTGTTTGTATAAGAGCTCAGAAACAAACAATTAATTCACGTTTAAGATTACTACAATACAAATGGTTAATGCGAACATATATTACACCAAGTAAATTATATCAGTTCAACTCTAATATACCAGACATATGCATAAAATGTTTGGAAGACAAAGGGACTTGGTTTCATTGTATATGGGAATGTAGGGAAATTCAAAATTTTGGAAAGAAATAATCAATATTATAAAAGTTCTTATCTCAAAGGATGTCGCACTGGATCCGGGTTTTCTAATTTTAGGTTTGTATCCAAGAAATAATGTATTTACCAAATGTGAACAGTTGTTAATTGATGTCTGTTTACTTCAAGCCAAAAGACTGATAGCACTTTTCTGGAAGAACACTTCAAGGCCAGGGACAATCCAATGGATCAGACAAATGCTGAAAACTTTGCCACTGGAACGGATTACGTATCTCCAAAAAGGGAAAAGTGAACTCTTTGAAAACGCTTGGAGATCCTTCTGGAATTTTGTTGAAGGAATGGACTTGTCACAAGATAGAACTGTCAGTTAAAGTCGAATTTAACGTTGAAATGGAATGTCAAACAAAGAAGCCTCAACAGTGGACTACGCTTCATGTGAACTTAAAAAAAAAAAAGATATATGCAGATACATATGTAACCAAGAGGGTGCTTGTTAGTCTTGTTTGTATTTGTTTAAGGCAGTTGTATGTGTAAAAAGGAAAAAAATCTAAAATAAAAATATTGTTGGAAAAAAAACAATGCATGGAGGGTTCCATCCCAAATCCAGCACCCTGAAACTGTACACGAGCCGCAAGGAAGGAGGCAGAGGACTAGTGAGTGTGAGAACCACTGTCCAGGACGAAACAACTAAGATCCATAAATACATCAGGGACAAAGCCTCAACAGACAATGTGCTCAGTGAATGTCTCAGACAACAGGGAACAGAGGTTGAGGTGCCAGAGATACCATCATGGGAGGACAAGCCCCTACATGAGATGTACCACCAGCAAATAACCCAAGTGGCTGATATCAGTAAATCCTATCAATGGCTGGAAAAAGCTGGACTCAAGGACAGCACAGAGGCCCTCATCCTGGCCGCCCAGGAACAGGCCCTAAACACCAGAGCAATAGAGGCCCAGATCTACCACACCAGACAAGACCCAAGGTGTAGGTTGTGCAAGGAGGCCCCTGAGACAGTCCAGCACATCACAGCAGGGTGCAAAATATTGGCAGGGAAAGCGTACATGGAACGACATAACCAAGTGGCAGGCATAGTGTACAGAAACATCTGTGCAGAACATGGACTGGAAACCCCGAGATCAAAGTGGGAAACACCCCCAAAGGTGGTGGAGAACGCCAGAGCTAAGATCCTGTGGGACTTCCAGATCCAGACAGACAAAATGGTAATGGCGAACCAACCAGACATTGTCGTAGTGGATAAACATCAGAGGAAAGCCGTTGTGGTAGATGTAGCAATACCAAGTGATTGCAACATCAGGAAAAAGGAGCATGAGAAACTGGAGAAATACCAGGGCCTCAGGGAAGAACTGGAGAGGGCCTGGAAGGTGAAGACCACAGTGGTGCCTGTGGTCATCGGGGCCCTCGGGGCAGTAACCCCCAAACTGGAGCAGTGGCTACAACAGATCCCAGGAACAACATCAGACATCTCAGTCCAGAAATGTGCAGCAGTCCTTGGCACAGCCAAGATACTGCAGGACCCTCAAGCTCCCAGGCCTCTGGTAGAGGACCCGAGCTCAGAGGATAAGAACCACCCGCGGTGGGTGAGAAGGGAATTTTTTTTTTTTTTTGATTTTATATATATATATACATTTTTTTCAGAGAACATTTATTGTATTGTTCAATGAATGTGCGCCTTTCATCCTCACCAGAGCTGTTCAGCCTGGGATGAGCGTCTTCCGACTCATGTCTCTATCTTAGCAAGTTTCACTTCTCAGGACATGGTGGAGTAGCGGCTGTGTGGCATAACTGTCAGGTTTTGGACTTGAGACTAGGGATAATGTCGCTACTGAGTGAGAGGTGAAACCAGCCTAAGAAGTGGGGAAGGGGGTAATACAGGATATTTATGATCATGCATTGCACTTGACAGTTGGCAAACCCAGTCTATACTATAAGAATCTGATTAAAATTAGAGCCTAAATACATTCTATTTCCAAAACAGAAAGGGTATGTAATGTTAGCCAGCTAACAAATTACTATTGCTATCTTAGCAACTAACAACTAGAAAAAAACAAAACACGTACCTTCATAATCAAAGAGGTATCATTCAGAGAATAATTTGTGCAGTTTAGATTACGTTGATGAAGAAAATTTGTTTGCAGATGGTGATATATCTTTAAATTGTGCTCTAGAGTCCAGAAACTGCATGAACTCCACACATTCTGTCTTTTTTCATTTGTACAGAAAAAAGACAGAAATGTTCTTTTTATTCTTTTTATTCATTTTAAGGTCATATTTTTTTAGGAGTTTTGTTAGTCTGTATGACTATTATGATCCATTTGGACCTGTTTGCCTGCTGTAAACCTGAATATGTTTTAGTATCAGTTTAGGTGTTTGGGGGAACAAGACTTGTCCTGAACTTTAAACATATCCCCTGCATAGTGTATCTTTAGTACACTATGCAGTGTACTAAAGATACACTGCATAGTGTACTAAAGATACACTGCATAGAGTCATAATGGCTGTTGTCTGACGTCATGTGAAAAGAGTCTATTGTTTTTTGAACTTTTTTAAAGTAAACTTGCCAGCTCCTTAAATTTTACATTTAAATGTTAAACAATTTAAAATCTTTTAATTTATGCATGTTGAAACCATTCAATCAAATTTACCATCACTGATAATCTCAATAAACAAATGTGGTCTGTGTTAAAATATTAGCATTTTGGGCCCCTGAAGCCCTGGGGGGCCTTCTGGAGCCACTGACTTCATTTAGATTCAACAAAGGTCCAAATAATTAATATTCATTTTAATTGTATTTTTTGATTTTGTTGTTTTTAAGACCAATTGTGGGTTGAGACCGCATTTCACTGGCCATGTTTTTCTGTAACATATAATTACCGAGTAATATTTTTACATTTTTTAATACAAAAACACAGTGGACTGCCTTGGTGCCCTGACAGCATCCTGTATTTATTGAGCTCCATCAGAAGGAATAAGAATTATGGCAAACTATTTTATTTAGGATTAATTGATAAAACCGACTAGTTTGTAAGTAAAATACTGGAAATTTTTAAGAAAAAACTGGATTTCGATCCAGAAATGCACAACAGAACCCATAACAAGAATCCAGGTTGCAATAGGCTTTGATTTTGGGAATATACCTGTATAGTTAGCACTTTGTTCCATTGGTGATTTGTCATCATCAAAGCAATTTCTGCTCATACCACCACACTTGTACAAAAGGAAAGTTAAATTGTATGTCAGTAACTTGCTTTGTTTCCCAACAAAGTTACATAAATGTCAGAAGATCCTGCAAGGTCCAACTGGCTCTCCAGAAAATGTTGTGCTGCACCTGAGAGTGATGATTCGCGGGAAACATGAGTGAATGAAGAATGGGACTCACTGCTAAGCTCTCTGACAAACATGGTTGCATTTGAATAATAGTCCACAGCTCACCTGCAGCAGTGATTTCCATAAGGAAGCAGTCATTTACTTGCCACTGATTTTAACAGAGAACTGTGCAGTGAGGAAACAGCCTTTGTCTAATGATGAGACAGAGATCTGAACCAGCCCCTCCTCTTAAGTGTCCATGATGTTCAACATGATTACATGCCACATGATAATCCATTTGACACCGGTCTGAACCGCCAGAGCGTCATGGTTAACTTTACAACATTCCTTCATGATGCTTTATCAATTTTCCACATGTTGTGATGACATGACTTCAGCAAAACCAAAAACGCCCCGCTTCTGTGTGCATTAGATCGACAGACAGACAGACAGTATCCAGACACCCACAGAGCAGTTTCAGGCAGCTGCTTCATCCCCTGCGCTCCTGCATGGGAGGCGCCTCCCTCCATCATGAGGATGCTGCGAGGAGGACCAGGATAATGCCAGAGCTCGGTCCACTCGCTGCTAGCATCAGGTTAGGGAAGCAGGCAGAGCTCGTACCGACAGGTGCCTGTGCGTCATTACCGCCAGGCCACTGGATAAAACCCCAACAACAACAGCCCGAAGCAGTGAAACGGCCCGGAATGAACAGATACGGTCGTTTTGGGTTTTTTTTTTAATTTTTTTGTCTTTTTACCAAAAACAATTCACGACAAAAAAGCGATTCAATCAAGAAGATCCAGTCAGGGTGCCGGGAGGCTGCCGCGAGCCGCCGCGTTTTCCCTTTGATCTACAGGCGCGTGGACACACTCACCTCTCTGCCATCTTCCCTCCGCTCCTAAAATGAACCAACGAGAAGGTATAAAACGCCCTCCATATTGCTGAAATGTGGTAGCCGCAGTCAGGGACTCGCTGCTCCGAGACCAGCGTCAAGGCAATGGCGGTAACTACGCAACATCCATTGGATACTTTCAAAGTAAGAGCTTTTCCAACATAGACATGATTCTAGTGTGTCATAGGAGATCTAACTGTTTTTGTATGTTTATCTTTTGTATAGTCGGTTAACCTATAAAAATCTACAGATTTAACGTGAATATGAGCAGTGAAATTGTTCGTCATACTTACAGTGTAAATGGAGTAATATCCCACCATCTGGATATGGTGGGATACAGAATCTGTCTGTAGTAATTACAAATTCAAATGATCGGATGACCATTTTACCTGCCCAGTGGCAGAGCCTCCATACATGCATTTTCTAACACCCTTGTCCGTGGTGGGGTCGGGCGGTGCTGCTGCCTCTGGCTGACGTTCTGGGCGAGTGGCAGGGGTCACCTGGACAGGTTACCAGTCAGTCGCAGGGCAGTGTGGAGTGGAGCAAGTGTGTCATCTACAAGGGCAACAGTCCTCTGACCCTGTAGCGTTAAGGTTGATTGGTTTGATGTTTCTAAATTAATGAGACAAAGCTTCCAGATCCCTGCTGTGAAAGTTTTAATAAACGTGACAAAACTGATGTACTATGCAGATATCTCAGCATACAGCATAAATACATAACTTCTTTATATTATTTATTTTATTTTTTATGTATCTTCTGATTTAATTACTGGACTCTCTCCCAAGTTAATTTTTGACTAAAGAACTACAGATGAGACTACCGGATTTGTCTGGCCTCTTCTTTAGCTCATGCTTCCTGGAGTGGATCCATTGGCAGGCTGCTTTCCTAATGATTCCTTTTGGAAACGTCGCTTCATCCAGCAGCAGTGAGGACGGAGAAGCGGACCTGCCTCTGCAGATCCGTGCATCCATGGAAGGCTTGTACGGCAAGTCAGATAGATACCTTCCTGTCATTGTTTGGATGTTGTGCGTTCTGCAGCTATGTTCACTTGATGGAAATAGTCCAGACATACTTTTTCCAGTTAAAAATTATCCTGGGAATAATTTGGCATTATTTACCTTAGTCTGTCTTTTGGGCTGAGTTGCGCTTCATGATTCAAGCTTTTTTCAACACCAATCTGGATGATATTGTAATAGATATTGTAATAGTTTTCAATTGAGGTGCAACGTCTGGGAAAGAGAAGCAAGCTGAAGCTAAAATGATTAATTGAAAGAGCCTGCTGCGAATTTCCATTTTATCATTTTTGGTCGTCATATTTTTCTTCTCTATATCCACCACCTGTCAAATTCTGAAATGTTAAATATTGATAAAAAAATTGTTTACTCTTTTGAATCCATATTCAGATTTAGATCAGATCACACTTTGACCTTATGCTGAATGAGCATGACTGGCTTTTAACAAGATGAAACCTCTTGCAGAATGAGATTTTAGACGGGTTGACATATGCTCTGACATGAGAATTAAGCAAAATATACACAGTCATATTTTAGTCACATGAAAACATTATATTTCTAGGACTTTGGCATTGATTATTCAGTTTGGATCAGTTTGTAAAAGGCCCTCAACTGAGTTCTGATTCTGGTTGCCACGGTTATTTGTAGTTTGATCAGCAGAGATATTTTATGTCTGTTTCTTGCGCAGCAGAAACAAATTCGTTGTGTAGCTAAATATAAGGAATTTAGCAGATGTCCAGAGGCGACTGGACATCTGCTAAAAGGAGAACTTTTTTGAAGAATTTTAGTTTTTTAGGAAGCAAGTCAAAACACAACAAGCACTGCACTTCCAAGACACTAAGACAGCAAATGTCTTTATAGTCAAATCCACCTGCGACAAATGGAAACACTACTGGCAGTCAATATATACTAGGATTAGTTTGGCTATAAATTATTATAAGTAAAAAAAGATTACAGTTAAATAAGATTTAATTGACTTCCTGTCACTAAACATGAGCTTGACAAAAGCTTTGTGACAATATTGCATTTACTAATACTTTGAAGCATGATCTGTTTGAATGACAAGGCTGTTACAGATTCAGCAGCAGATGTCACTAGTGAGTAATGAATGAACCATCAAGTAATGCAAATTTGGGCAAAGGAAAGGGCTCGAAAGCTTCATCGCTTCATGGACCATCATTTGGCCATCACTAGGAGTTGGAACAAGATGCAGAGTGGGGAGAGTGTGGCACACTACACAGTAGAGCCAGAGAGAAAACTCGGGAGCAGAAAATAATTCTAACACCAAAGAAACATAATCAATTAACAAGACAAGTACAAATGGAAAAACAAAACTGAACCGATAAAGAACACAGAGTACTCAAACTAGAAACACTAAGAACACATGTAGACTTTGACACTAATAACTGGACCTTGAGTAAAAATTAAAAATTAAGCATAACTAGAAACATGACATGAGACTGAAATAAGAAAAACAAGGCCAAGACAAATCTAACCAAATAAGTAACATCAGATAATGGATCTAGAGCAAACATAGGAGGGAGTTATCTCAGGAGATTAGAAAAAAAAATTATAGACAAGCATGACAAAGGTAAAGGTTACAAGACCATCTCCAAGCAGCTTGATGTTCCTCTGACTACAGTTGCACATATTACTCAGAAATTTAACATCCATGGGATTCTAGTCCATTGAACTGTTCTGAAGTGACCTTCTATGGACCCTCTCCTGAATCTGACTGAGCATCTTTGGAAGGAGCTGAAACCTGAGACAACTGAAGCAATTTGCTCATGAGCAGTGGCCAAAATACCTGCTGAGAGGCGTTTAAGTCTCAATGACAGTTGTAGGAATCTTTTGAGTGCAATGATTTCCTTGAACGGTTGTGCAACAAAATATTAAGTTAAGTGTACCATCATTGTCCAGGCCTGTTTCATGAGTTTGCATTTGAACATAATTTTGTTGTTTGACACTGTTTGAAAAGCAGTTTCTGCCTTTCATTTATTTTCATAGAATTCTTTTTTTATTATTCCCTTGGTCAGATTAAAGTTATTTCTGTGACCATTGTGGGTTTTTCTTTCATTAAGTGAGGGGTACCAACAAGTTTGTCCACATGTGTAAATGTTGGGGGAGGAAAGAATGGAAAAACCCTGTTTTTTTACTGTCTCATTGACAGTTGTAGGAATCGTTTGAGTGCAGTGATTTCCTTGAACGGTTGTGCAAACAAAATATTAAGTTAAGTCTAATAATAACAATATTATTGTAATTCCATGCTTTTAAATGATTAATGTTAAGCAATTTTCTGCTAGTTACAGAATTCTGCAGGTGGGGTCACACACCTCTAAATAAATTAATCTTTCATTATTGTTGCTTTTTCAAACAATCAAGACACCCTCAGTCTTGATAGTTTGGAAAATTAAACAGCCTTTTTTCTATCCTTTTTTGATCTCATAACCCTCTCCAGCAACAACTAATTGCTACTTAACTAGTCTTTGCAAGTAATTTGAGCCTGAGAGGGTTAACTTTAGGTAATTATTTTAAGATTATAGGTACAATTTGTGACATTTTGTAGTCAATTTACAGCTAAAAAAGGATTTAAAATTAGACCTTTATATCAGACCAGTATAAAAATATATTTATATACAGAAATGTAGCTTTAATGAAAAGTATATTTAATATCTGCCTAAAGGTTATTTTCACAATGTACTTTTAATCTGCCAAATGAGCATCATCCAAAGGCATATTTTTTAATTTACTGAATATGATTGTGTGTCCATAACAACCACCATGTCTCAGGGATAGTTTTTGTCGAAGGTTGATTTCTGGCCTTGCATTTTTAAGATATAAAACAAAAATTATTTATTTTAGGATATAAAACAAATTATTTGTTTTAGGATATAAAACAACTTATTTATTTTAGGATATAAAACACAATTATTTGTTTTAGGATATAAACAACTTATTTATTAGATATAAAGGATATAAAACAACTTATTTATTTTAGGATATAAAACAACTTATTTGTTTTAGGATATAAAACACAAATTATTTATTTTAGGATATAAAACAACTTATTTATTTTAGGATATAAAACAACTTATTTATTTTAGGATATAAAACACAAATTATTTGTTTTAGGATATAAAACAACTTATTTTTTTAGGATATAAAACAACTTATTTGTTTTAGGATATAAAACAACTTATTTATTTAGGATATAAAACAACTTATTTGTTTTAGGATATAAAACAACTTATTTATTTTAGGATATAAAACAACTTATTTATTTTAGGATATAAAACAACTTATTTATTTTAGGATATAAAACAACTTATTTATTTTAGGATATAAAACAACTTATTTATTTTAGGATATAAAACACAAATTATTTGTTTTAGGATATAAAACAACTTATTTATTTTAGGATATAAAACAACTTATTTATTTTAGGATATAAAACACAAATTATTTGTTTTAGGATATAAAACAACTTATTTATTTTAGGATATAAAACAACTTATTTATTTTAGGATATAAAACAACTTATTTATTTTAGGATATAAAACAACTTATTTGTTTTAGGATATAAAACAACTTATTTATTTTAGGATATAAAACAACTTATTTATTTTAGGATATAAAACAACTTATTTATTTTAGGATATAAAACAACTTATTTATTTAGGATATAAAACAACTTATTACTTTAGGATATAAAACACAATTATTTGTTTTAGGATATAAAACAACTTATTTGTTTTAGGATATAAAACAACTTATTATTTTAGGATAAAAACAAATTATTTATTTTAGGATATAAAACAACTTATTTGTTTTAGGATATAAAACAACTTATTTATTTTAGGATATAAAACAAAAATTATTTATTTTAGGATATAAAACAACTTATTTATTTTAGGATATAAAACAACTTATTTATTTTAGGATATAAAACAACTTATTTATTTTAGGATATAAAACAACTTATTTATTTTAGGATATAAAACAACTTATTTGTTTTAGGATATAAAACAACTTATTTGTTTTAGGATATAAAACAACTTATTTTTTTTAGAATAAAACAATTTATTTATTTTAGGATATAAAACAACTTATTTTTTTTAGGATAT